TTTCGAAAAAATAGATTTTTTATATATTTTACTATTGCTCAGCAAATTTCGGCAAATACTTTTGGCCAATGAGTGTACCTACAGTTGACTCCCACTTTCGATACTCTGCAACGTGCAATGGATTTGACAATCTCGGCCATATGTCGTAGAATAAATGCATCACGTGATTCAGATATAATTTCAGTACGCAGATATTTGCTGTTGATATAATTGATGATAATATTGTAACAAGACACTCTTCAAGGATTGTACAGTTAGGTAACACTGTAATATTGGTGTGCATGTCTAGTCGATTATACATTACGCCATAATTTCAATTAGACATATATACAACAATTTTTAGTATGCCCACCCACCTTTTTTATATCGTGCGTGTATTTATAAGCAAACGAAAAAATACGCTTTAGTGTTATTTTTGTTATCATTAGTATACTGTATGTTATCTGTGCCCGGTATTGAAATTACTGTTACGTACAAATCAGGCTACGCATTATGAGTTATTTAAACCATCAGGACATTAATTTACAAATAGCCAGGTTATCATAACCACGGCGCGCTATCATGCGATTTTTGGAAATGAAAACAAATCAAGGTCAGGAGTCGAAGCAATCACAGATCAGCTTTAACAAATGACTCCTAACGGTAACGTCTTTTCGAAGAAGACAACGCTACTTTATCCCATTCTGAATGTCAGCTTTGCCTCGGATAACTGTATGTTTATTGACTTGATAGATGTTTATAATAAACTGGGCTTAATGTCCGATGTAAGTTGACTGGAAGTCATGATAACACGTTCAGTATGAGTGATAAATAATGATTTTACAGAAACCTGTAGTTTTTATAAATCTCTCTGTGACATCAGAATAAGATCGCCACTATCTAACAGGCATTACGTAATGATATTGCCATAAGGATTCCAATTTTATTGTATCGTGAAGATGTGCCCGCGAGATTTCGGGGATGCATGGAAATTTTACGAAGTTGAACAATCTAGCAGAATCTCGTGACAAGATCGCCAGGATACTAATAGAAATTTAGCAATTTGTTGGTGACATCACGACGAGATGTTTCTGATTGTAAATGTCACATGGTTATCAGTACAACGTCCGTCCTACAAATCTCATCGAACCATTTTTAAAAAATGCAAGTTTCTGTAAAGAAAGTAACACCGCAAAATCTTCATTATAGGAAGGATGTGCGAAAACTGCTTCATATATAGTAATTAGTGCAAGAAATATAATAACAATATGTTATAATATATTAATATGCTAATAAAAACTTGTTATATGTAATTTGTCTTTCACAATGAAATTATGTTATGTGTAAGACAGCTATGCGATAGATAGTAAAGGATGTTTGCCTAACAAAATTATAAAAAACAGAATAAATATTATGCTCATGTATGAGCTATGAAAAAAATTAATTTACACAAACACATTAGAGGTTGAATAATTCAGTGAGTGCCTCTTTTTTCCTCGGCAATCTAAGAACTCGGTGGTAGTCCCTTGGTGCGTGAATGGAGCGATGGTGGTAGTCCCTTGGTGCGTGAATGAAGCGATGGTGGTAGTCCCTTGGTGCGTGAATGAAGCGATGGTGGTAGTCCCTTGGTGCGTGAATGAAGCGATGTTGGTAGTCCCTTGGTGCGTGAATGGAGCGATGTTGGTAGTCCCTTGGTGCGTGAATGGAGCGATGGTGGTAGTCCCTTGGTGCGTGAATGGAGCGATGGTGGTAGTCCCTTGGTGCGTGAATGGAGCGATGGTGGTAGTCCCTTGGTGCGTAAATGGATCGAAGGACCTCTCTTTTCAGCGGGAATGGCACTGATAATGGAAGACATGACCAATAAAATGAACGCAAAAATAAAAATTCGTGCCATGATTACTTTTAATTTTCCAATTTTCCAATATTAAAATTTGATAACTTGTTCTCAGTTAGCATCCTTTTATAAGAAAAAAAAAAAACTTCTCGTGATTACATCAAAATTGTATTATAATTGAAAAGATTTCATATGAAATTAGTCGATCAATTAACAAAAAAATTCGTATTGTGTATCATTATATGGAATTAGTTATTGCACGCGGACATTGTTTTATTTATGTAGCAAAGTCATATACTCGTTGCGTAATGCGCAAAAAAATGATGCGCAATTTACCCAAATTTGTGCATAGCATGCTAATACTTTTAAAAGTTGCGCAATGCGCGCAAAAAAACCTCAGTTCTGGACTGAGTATCCGGGTTATGAACTGAAACAATCCCAAACTCAGACACAACATGTGCAATTTGCACAGATTAAACGCTTATATTAATTGAGTAATTCATATGTTATAGAGAGTGTTTGGTAAGTTGTATTTTCTGTTTTGAATAATCGTTAGTTGCCCCATGCATGATAATGCTTTAAATGTAATTTTTCCTTTACGACAACTGCGTTAGTTAGCTTTTACTGGTCGTTCTTCACAAAACGAACACTAGTTTTGTAGATTACTTACATATCTGGTTTTAAATACAGTCGAACCTCTTTATACCGAAGTGTCGGGTGAGGCATCTATGATTCGGTATAGTGAGGTACCTCTATATAACGAAGTTAGGCCTAAAGTCAAGCAATATTCGTTATAATAAGACTTATTTGAATAATATTACTGCTTCAATTTACAAACAACAATACATGAATATAATAAAATAATTATACTAATCAGTAACAAATGAATCTATTCGAGTTTGTTTTTGCCATGCACAAAAGGCTTTAAATTCATCGTAATTTATTTCTATGTCACCTTGTTGAAGAAAGTTGAATGCCGTTTCAATTGTGACTTCTGCATCTTTAGTAAAGACGGTAGGGAGAGATTTCGAGCTACTTTTATCATCGCTTTCTCTTTTTCTGTGCGGGGAGATGGAACTCTCGTTGTTTATATAGCAATTTGTTAACTGTTTCCTAATTATATTTTCAAAATTAATCGTATGACTGAAAATTGCATGATGGAACAATATGACTAAATTTAAAAAATAGTAGATACGAGATACGGTTGAAATCATACGATCAAAAATGTTGGCACACAATTACACCACTCCAGAGTGAAAGCCTGGCATGCAATGCAATGCTGTTGGTCAGTTTACAACAACGATACAATGTATGACATTTATTCATTCAAATTATGTCATATTCATATCCCTACGCATATTAAGTACTAGTATATGATACCAACTCTCTATTACGTGCCTCCTTGATTTCCAATACTTTGTTGAGGAAATTCGTATATACCCCGTTTGCTCAATGCATACTCGTAATTTAGTTCAATTTCTGATGCTTTGTTGGCATCGCTTAATGCACACATACTGTTTGAGTTCAGTATAAAGATACCATCTTACAGGCAATGCAAGTACGTCATATCGTTTCGTTTAACTTCTAATGCTTTGTTAGCATCATTCAATGTATTGCCTTTCTTCAAATGTGTAATCTTATAAGGTCATATCATCTTTGGTTTATAAATCACCGTAGTTCAGACAACGATCACGCATTTTGCACTTTTCAGACATAGTGTGGCTCGTACTGCATCTGGCATAAGATTGTTTCGAATTTTGGTGACTGTATGAGAACGCCTGTTCACTTGGAACACTTGTTCCTGTATAGATAAATAATTTCTTGCCATCTTGCTGAGACACGTTTAATGTTAGTGCATTTCTATCTATCCTTCGCAAGAGTAAAGAGCCAAGTATCGTTCTATTTTATCTTCTATCAAGGGTTTTCAGTTTCAACTGATTGCTGTAACAGTGCTTCAAAAAATGAACACTGGCTGTGTTTTTCTATCTCCAAAGAAAAGAATAATGCGTTTGATGATGTGTAGTGTAATTTGATAGAGACATAAGCAAGGCTCTTAATGCTGTTGTACGTTCATCATGTGTTATTAATTTTGAGTGCGGGTCGAGCAGAGTAGGAGTTAATTCAGCGATAATGTCCCAATATTCTTCTAACTTATGCTTTATAGATTGTGCTCACTTATTTCATAATTTTGCAGACATTGATCCAAGTGACATTGTAGACCAGTGAACACTAGTCGTACATCACGAATTACAGGATATGTGCTATTGGATAGTAACTGCGTCGCTTAATACATGAGTTCAAGAAGTTTTAACATTGCATGCACTCCATTCTTCGTCGTTAAGCCATAGATCTTCAAGAGAGGATCTGTGTTTTATTGGGGTCCGTATTATTTCATCGACAATCATTTCACCGACAATTAACTACTAAAAAAGGATAACTTCGAAATAATGTTGGTAAATATTTGTCGGTGAAATGATTGTCGGTGAAATGATTGTTGATGAAATGATTGCCTCCCGTTTTATTCGGGTATTTTCTTCAGTTTGACAAACGTGTACTATTCCAGCGTGTATCAACGTTGAGATACCCGACTTGTTGTACAAATATCAGGCCACGCATTATGAGTTAATTATGACTCGTAAATTATCAGGACATTAATTTACGAATAGTCAGGCTATCATGACTATTTCATCGACAAGGCAACCACGGCTTTGACAATGACTACTAACGGCAGCGTCTTTTCGAAGAAGACAACATAACGTTACTTTATCTCATTCTGAATGTCATATACATCAACTTTGCCTCAGATGATATACTTATCTGGTCTTTTGACTTGATAGATGTTTGACTGACTGGAAATTATGATAGCACGTTCAGAATTAAAATAATATTGAAGAAACAAATTGAGATTTGCGACATACAGTATGAGTGATAAATAATGAAGTAACGCTACAAAATCTCCAGGAAGCGATATTGCAAGAAATATAATACCGAATTTTAACAATATGTTTGTCAATATAATATATTAATATGCTAATAAAAACTTGTTATATGTAATTTGTCTTTTACAATAAAATGTGTTATATTTAAGACAACTATGTGATTGTAAAGAATGTTTGTCTAATAAAATTATGAATAGCAGAATAAAAAATTTCGAATTATGCTCATATATGAGAGGTTGATGATTCAGTGAACGCATCTTTTTTCCTTATTGTGTATTTGGTGGATCGATCCAAGGACCTCCTCTCTCAGCAATTGGATATGAATCGGGGAGGGGTGTATATGGTGGACCGATCCAAGGACCTCCTCTCTTAGGTGTATATGGCGGATCAATCCAAGGACCTCCTCTCTTGTCAACGGGAATGGCACTGGTAATGGAAGACATGACCAACAAAATAGACGCAAAAATAAAAATTCGTGCCATGATTACTTTTAGTTTTCCAAATTTTTAATTATTAAAATTACATTATGATTGAAAAGATTTATATGAAAATTAGTCGATTAATTAACAAAAAAAATATTCGTATCGTATCATTATATGGAATTAGGTATTGCACGCGGAAATTGTTATATTCTTGTTTCGAAATGAAAAATAAATTTATGTAGTAAAGCCATATACTTGTTGCGTGATGCGCGAAAAAAGTGATGTCTAATAAATCCAAATTTGTGCATTAATAATATGCTAATATTTTTAAATTGCACAATAGTAAGCCAAAATTATAGATAATTTGCAAAAATTCAAAAGTTGAGCTCTGCAATTACGCCAATACATTTCTTACATTGCGCCCGCCCGCTAGTAGATATATGCAAGCACGCAAATGTTGTTCATATTACACTCTGTTTTTTTACAAACTCCAGAATTTGTTTCAAGACAAAAGAATCCGAAGGTAAAAGGAGCGGAGTAGCAATAAAAAAGCTAGCTACTATTGTTACGTAATCGGGATAAAATAAAAAGCTGGGCACGACCCATAAACTCCATTATTTTTAGACCACTAGTAATATTTTTAATATTTAACGCAAAGCCCTCGGAGGAATTCCCCAAGAAATCAGTTATCGGGTTGGCTAATATACACTACATAGTGTATGCAACTTTATGCTACATATGATTGTGCTAAAAGCTGGTTTTCATATTAATATGTGCATCATAAATATTGTCAATATCATCGAATTGTAGTCTTAAGCGGTAACATATCACTATTTGCCCAGAATCATGTGATTTTCATACGAACAATAAGATTTTTCGAGAAAAAAAGTGATTTACTAGGAAGTGACTACTGGCAATGAATATAAATGTAAGGTGTCACACAATATCCCGTTACCTTCGAACTTATCACCCCCGAAAGTCACCGAACCACAACATTAATTGGGTAACTCATATGTTGAGAGTATTTGGTAAGTTGTATTTTCTGTTTGAATAATCGTTATTTGCCCATGCAATGATAATGCTTTAAATAGACATTCTTCTTTTATGACACCTTGTACTAACAATAAAGCGTTAGTTGGCTTTTACTAGTCGATCGAACACTCTAGTTGTAGACGTTGTAACCAGATTACTTACATATCTTGTTTTAACTATTATTGATTTATAATCTATTCCTTTGTGTTATAATTGCGACAAAACATATGGTAAAAGTGCACTAAAAATTTTCGGAGCAGAAGGCTCATTACTTTTTCTACATTTGAATCATCAAAAAAGGGTTTGATTTGTCAAGTCAAGCGCAAATCCATAACGTTTGTAAGTTTGATGGCACTTTTGTCTTGGCATTTTAACAATGGATGGACAGTTGACAGTAGATCACTGCATTAAGGATATTATCGGTTTGATATTCTAAACATTTTCCCCGACTCAAACCAGGATCATCATACCAATTAAATGACCATACGATTCCAAATTAATCTTGCTTTGTAACAAACGTTCAAACAAACGGTTGGACAATAACACACGATCATGGTAATCATGCATATAATTTCTCTATCTTGTTATAGTTACTCAATCGACTTTAGTTCGTTGTGGCTGACTCTCATATGCGTTGCGTAAATCATGACAAAATTCATACTCATACATATGTCCCCCGATTAGACTTTGATTTTGGATATTATTTAGGAAACTAATTTTTCTTATAAAAACGATAGCATGATAGCATGTCGGACTGCAATCAACCCAAAAACTTACCAATTCACTGATTAACAACTACAAAAACTATGAAGCGCCCAATTTTTTTTCTATTCTTTGTTCTGGCTACAATTTCAGTAATTAATGCTATTCCGCATGCATTGAGCAAAAGGACTGGCTTTAAGCCATGTCGTATAGACTTCCCTCCACCCTTTCTCGACGTAACGATATCACCCAATCCTATTGTCTCTGACAAACCCGTTACTTTTAACATTTCCGGAACCGCTCCAGATGAAATTCCCAAGGGCTCTACCGTGGAAATTGATTTTTACAACTCCAACAACTTTTCACAGACGTTCAGTGACGATTTTTGCAAACTTTCTGGATTGAAATGTCCAGTCGAAAAAGATACAAGCTTTGACCTTCTGTCCAATATTGAGCTAAAGAATTTGCCCGATACTTATACAATTGTAGTCGGAATATTTGATCCCCAAAAAGAAAAACTTATGTGCGCTTCGACCTTATTCTGAGCTATTGTATATTCTAATTATATCTTCTAATACTGTGTGTTATTTTGTTCTGTTTTACTTTCTTTTTTTCTCACATATACGCACATTTGGCGGCAATATTTACTTAAACTTAATCAACGCTTAATAAGGGTCTTTGAAATGACATAAGTCAAATTGAAGTCGTTCTAGTTAATATACAATTTCGAAGAAGCATTCTCAAATTTTCTTATACATTACCCAATCATAAATTTTTATTGCTATACCTAATTATAATAATGTACGCATTAATATCAATATATTTATAGAGCAGAAATAAAACGTGCGTGTAGAATTTTTTTTTAATTGTTTTCATCAGCATCAATTATCTTAGCACATTCAACGATGGTGCTTGTTTGACAATGTATACAACTAGAAACGTTTACGTTTTTATGTGTAGAGCTTTGTCCCTTGCTGAAATAAAAACACGACTTTAAAAAAAACTGTTGAAGAACACTGAGTTTATGCTTTTTGTAAATTACAGTAGTCGTTTTAATTAAGGGCCATGATCTTACTCTTTTTTTAAAATGTTCAAGACTATTGGTTGGCAAGAAAACTATTGTGTTCGAGAGCGTAATTTAGTCATGTATTCTGGCAAACTCGCTAACTTCTCCATTACGGACTTTGGACCCCAAATCCAAAAAACCAAAGTCTCTTTTGGTCAACGTATCTTTACGTGTGTGGAAAGATATTAATTGGTTTACTTCTATGCCAAAAAAAAAAGGTCCAATAAGCAACTCGATAACATGCCATGTGCGCGCACCTTATTTGATTCTAAGAACATTCCTCAGTTCAGGTAACTGAATAATTTCCGTCATCAGATACACGCTCTTAAATGTTTGACAGAAAGTAAACATCACTAGATTGCTCTTTGAAGATGTATACGTGAATGTATAATAAACTTTTGTGTGACACTCTGGAAAAAATTTTAGTACACCATCGAACAGTAAAATATGCCTACAGTTGACCCTTATGTATACTATTTTGTATTGTAGAATCGGACAATTCGGAAGTAGTAGACGATAACAATAATTGGGAGGAGCAAGAAGCAGAGAAAGGGCAAAGAAATTTTGAGATGATTGAACGGTATCTTAGAGAAATTAAAATGCACGACATAGTTGTTGAAGTTAGTTGAACAGCGTGATTTAAATTTCCGATGGATTAACAATATTAAAAATAAGTTTAATACCATATTGGGACTGTAGATGACATAAACCAATATGATAGACGTACAACAAATTCTAGAACATGGAAAGGTCACAAACAAAATATTATATTATCATCGTTAATATTAGTTGGAGCAATAAATAAATTTATCGTTTATTATTATTACTATATCGACACTTGTATAATTGACTTGTGCTGTAGTGATTACTATTCCAAATTGGGATGGTGATCTTAATTAGGAGGTTGTTTTTGTAAACTTCGTCCATATGGGAATAATAGGGGTAAAAACTTTTAGAGCAGAAGGGCTGATTACGTTTTCTACATTAGAACTATCAAAAATGGGTTTGATTGGTCAAGTCAAGCGCACGTTTGTACTGTATTGGTATGTTTGATGGCACTAAAATTTGTACCATACCACAAAGACTTAATAAACGGTTTGTTCAATTCGAGTAAACTTGGTATTTTAATAATGGATGGACAGTTGACAGTAGATCCCTGTATTGAGGGTATTGTCGGTTTGATATCCTAAACCATTTTCCATCCGGGATTATCATACCAATTTAGGTAATTCAAATGATCGTGCGATTACCTCGTGCAAATATTCAACCCAAATTAATCCTGTTTTATAACTATCGCTCGGAACTCTTATTCACAACGAGGTATCCTGCTTTATAACAAACGTTTACACAAACGGTTGGTCTCTAATAAACAACAACAACGCATGGTCATACATTTAATTTCTCTATCTTGTTATAGTTATTCAATCGACTTTATTTCTTATAGATTAGGCTTTGATTTTGGATATTATTTAGGAAACCAGCTTTCTTATAAATACGATAGCATGATAGCATGTCGGACTGCAATCAACCCAAAAACTTACCAATTCACTGATTAACAACTACAAAAACTATGAAGCGCCCAATTTTTTTTCTATTCTTTGTTCTGGCTACAATTTCAGTAATTAATGCTATTCCGCATGCATTGAGCAAAAGGACTGGCTTTAAGCCATGTCGTATAGACTTCCCTCCACCCTTTCTCGACGTAACGATATCACCCGATCCTATTGACTCTGACAAACCCGTTACTTTTAACATTTCCGGAACCACACCAGATGAAATTTCCAAGGGCTCTACCGTGGAAATCAATCTTTACAACGGCGACAAAAAGTTTTCACAGACGTTCAGTGGCGATTTTTGTAAACTATCTAAATTGAAATGTCCAGTCAAACAAGATACAAAGTTTGACTTCCAGTACAAAATTGAGCCGAAAAATTTGCCTGATAATTATACAACTGTAGTCAAAATATTGGATTCCAAAAAAGAAGTGCTTATGTGCGCTTCGACCTTATTCGGATTCTTCTAATACTGTGTATTATTTTGTTCTGTTTTACTTTATTTTTTTCCTCACATATACGCACATTTGGCAATATTTACTTAAACTTAATCAGCGCTTAATAATGGTCTTTAAAAATGACATAAACCAAATTGAAGTCAATATACAATTTCGAAAAAACATTCTCAAATTTTCTTATACATTACCCATCATAGATTTTGTTGCTAT